TACTCTAGCACTCTGGAGGCCGAGGCGATTGCCTGGAGGATTGCTCCAGGTCAGGAGTTCGAAACCAGCCTGAGCAAGAGAGGGAGACCTCCGCTCTACTATAAATAGAAAAGAAAATTAATTGGCCAACTAATATATATAGAAAAAATGAGCCGGGGCGTGGGCGCATGCCTGTAGTCCCAGCTACTGGGGGAGGTTGAGGCAGGAGGATCGCTTGAGCCCCGGAGTTGGAGGTTGCTGTGAGCTAGGCTGACGCCACGGCACTCACTCTAGCCAGGGCAACAGAGATGTGTCTCAAAAAAAAAAAAAAAAAAAGGACAACAAAACTCGAGATACGCAGCAGCGTTTGTGCTTTGCCCCCAGCCCTGGCGCAGGGTCGCCAAGCAGGGTGCCGAAGGGTCCGAGTCGGGCGGACTAGGAGCGTCTCGGCCTCCAGACGCTTCTGCGCCTGCGACACCCTCGGGCATCTGTTGCTCCGGGCCGACAGGTGCAGCCGGCCGCTCAACAGCTGGCCCCGGCGCGCCAACAACAGCCTCCACCTGGGCGCCGTGCTCGCGGCCCCCCCCCGGCGCGAGCTTCCGGCAAAAGGGAAAACAAAACGAAACCTGGGGCGCGGGCCAGCCGGGCGCGACGGCGCCGCGCTGCGGGGGGCAGAACCGCAGGGCCCGGGCGCGGGGACTGCGGATCCAGGGGTCCCGCAGCCGGGCGCCGAGCGCGCAGCTCGGGGAGCGGATGTGGCGCAGGGCAGGGGGGCAGGCACGGGGGGCGCAGGCAGAGGGGGTTGCGCGTGGCAGGGGGCGCGAGGCAGGGGGCGCCGCAGGGCAGGGGCCCGCAGGCAGGGGGGCCGCAGGGCAGGGGCCCGCAGGGCAGGGCGCAGGCAGAGGGTGCGTGCGGGGCAGGCCGCGGGCGGGGCGCGGGGCAGGGGGTCCGCAGACAGGGGGGCGCAGGACAGGGGGGCCGCAGGGCAGCCGCAGGGCAGGGGGGGGCGCAGGCAGGGCGACCGGCGGCACCTGCTCCCCAGAGCGGGGTGCCGGTGGAGCCAGGAGTCCGCGCGCGGTCGGCCGGGCAGCGAGGTCTGGGCGGCCGAGCAGGCCACGCCGCGGTGCGGAAGCCAGCCGGGCGCCCGCCCAGGACGCGGCACGAGGCCCCGGGGGCCCGGAAAGGGTCTGCGGGTGTCCCCGGAGGCAGCGCGGGGGGAGGTCCGCGGGAGCCCGCGCGACACCAGACTAGCGGAGAGGGGGAGGTAGGAGGACGGGGTCTCTGCGGATAAGCGCACCCCCCCCCGCCGGCCCGCTCGAGCCGCCCCCGCGCGTCTCACCCTCGGCGCGCGAGCGGATCTCCGACACGGTCCTCCGCATGGGCGGCATCGCGGCCGCCGCCGCAGGTGGGTCCTCGGCCCGGCGGCACCTGTCGCCGCGCGGCTCGCGCGAGCTGGGGCGCGGGCAGAGCGCTCGGCGCCGTCCCGCACGCCCAGCGGGAGAGAGAGGAGGAAGCGCAGCGGGCGTCCGCAGGGCCGCGAGTTCCCGGCGGCGCGGGGCGGGTCTGGGGCGCGCGCTCCGGGGAGGCTCGCGGGGCGGGACGGGGCGGCACCCGGGCCTGCTCGCCGCGCCACCGCGACCGTACCACTGCGCGGGGGTCCGGCATCAGCCTCTGCGAGCCTGTCTGCTAAGGCGTCCGCGACTCCCCAGGGCTTGGCCCGGGAGGAAGGCGGTTCTGGTTCTTGCTTTGCCTCCCTGTGTCCCCTCTGCCACCTCTGGGTCACCTTCTGGCCGCTCTGTGTCCCCTCCAGGCCCTCTGGCCACCCTCTGGTTCACCCTCTGGCCACTCTGTGTCCCTCCAGCCACCTCTGCCGACCCTCTGGCACCCTGTGTCCCCTCCAGCACCTCTAGCACCTCTAGGCACCCTCTAGCCACCCTGTGATCCCCCAGCCACCTTAACGCACCTCAGCCACCCTGGTGTCCCTTACGGCCACCCTACGGCCACCCTACGGCACCCTCTGTCCCTCCGGCCACCCTCCGGCGTTCAATAGCGATGACCCGCCCGCGTCTAGAACAGGTGCTGGTCTGTCTGAGCGGGCAGGCGACGCGACAGGCTCTTGGGCGCCCGAGCTAATCCCGGTGGAGCGGGATCCGCGGCGCGTTCGCCCCCTGGGTGCAATTCAGCCCTGCGCGTCGCCCCGCCCAGCAGCGATGGGGCTTCGAGGCAGGGGTTCGGGGCGCTGGTCCCTCCAGTCGTGTTTGTCGCCTGCCAGCGGGCCCAGCGCGTCGCCCCAGCTCCTGGCGCAGGCTGGCGAGTCCTGAGATTGCGTGTGACCACAACTAACCGTTGGCCCAGGAGGGCACACAAAGAACTTCTGTTGTTTCGGATTTTTGCTTTTAGTCAAACGTGCAGAGGAGTGTGGTTAGAGTTTTATCTGAAAAGGGCAGAGGTCTTAGTATAAAATCCGTAAATAAGGCCGGAGGTGTTGCTCACAGCTGATAATCCTAGAACTCTGGGAGCGGAGGCGGGAGGATCACTGAAAAGTCGGAGTTCGAGACCAGCCTGAGCAAGAGCAAGACCCCGTCTCTACTAAAAATAGAAATGAGCTGGACAACTAAAATATATATATAGAAGAAATTAGCCGGGCATGGTGGCGCATGCCTGTAGTCCCAGCTACTCGGAGCTGAAGGCAGGAGGATTGCTGGAGCCAGGAGTCTGAGTTACTGGAGCTAGGCTGACCCAGGGCACTCGCTTAGCCTGGGCAACAGAGTGAGACTGTGTTCAAAAAAAATAAAATAAAGTCCGACATTACATTAAATTTTAACTTCCCCTATCTTAGAGACCATCATAACAAAATGCATGTACCTAGATCTGTGCTAACAAGTTGTCCAGACTGTTACGGACTCAGAAAGTGAGAAATGCCACTTCAGACCGAACTTAGCCAGATTGTGAGTCTTTATTAGCGACCAGCGGCCCCACTCCGGCACTGCGGACAGGCAGGCTCAGGGAGCGGCCCCGAGCTGAAAAAGCGGGGGTTTTATACAGGCCAAGTTAGGGCTAGCGCTTAGTACAAGAGTTGGTTACAGCCTCGAGTCTTGATTTTCCAGCTGCGGGCCGGGGCTCCCGGACCATCTCCGGGAGGAGGAGGAAGCGCAGCGGCGTCCGCAGGGCCCGGCGAGTCTCCCAGCGGCCGCGCGGGGCGGGGTCTGGGGCGCGCGCTCCCGGGGAGGCTCGCGAGGGGCGGGGACGGGGGCGGCACCCGGGGCCTGCTCCGCCCCGCGCCACCGCGGACCGTACCACTGCGCGGGGGGGTCCGGCATCAGCCGCCTCTGCGAGCCGCGTGTCTGCTAAGGCGTCCGCGACTCCCCCAGGGCTTGGCCGGGGTGGAAAGGGCGGTCTGGTTGCTGCTTTGGCCTCCCTGTGTCCCCTCTGGCCACCCTCTGGTCACTCTCTGGCCGCTCTGTGTCCCCTCCAGGCACCTCTGGCCACCCTCTGGCCACCCTCTGGTCACCCTCTGGCCACTCTGTGTCCCCTCCAGCCACCTCTGGCCACCCTCCGGCCACCCTCTGGCCGCTCTGTGTCCCCTCCAGCCACCTCTGGCCACCCTCTAGCCACCCTATGTCTCCTCCAACCACCCTCCAGCCACCCTCTGGCCACCCTGTGTCCCCTCCGACCACTCTCCGGCCACCCTCTGGTCACCCTCTGGCCACCCTGTGTCCCCTCCGGCCACTCTCTGTCCCCTCCGGCCATCCTCTAGCGTTCACTAACGATGGACCCGCCCGCGGTCTAGAACGGGGTGCTGGGTCTGTCTGAGCGGGCAGGCGACAGCGACAGGCTCTGGGGCGCCCCGAGCTAAGTCCCGGTGGGAGCAGGGGCATCCTGGCGCCTTCGCCCCCTGGGTGCAAGTTCAGCCCCTGTGGGCTTCGCCCCGCCCAGCAGCGACGGGCTGCAAGGCCGGGGGTCTCTGGGCGCTGGGTCCCTCCAGTCGCGTTTGTCGCCTGCCAGCGGGCCCAGCGCGTCGCCCCAGCTCCTGGCGCAGGCTGGCGAGGTCCTGAGATTGCCGTGTGACCAGCTAACCGTTGGCCCAGGAGGCGCACAAAGAACTTCTGTTGTTTCGGATTTTTGCTTTTAGTCAAACGTGCAGAGAGTTGGTTGCAGTAGTTTTATCTGAAAAGGGCAGAGGGGTCTTAGTATAAAATCCGTAAATAAGGCCCTGTTTTAGCACGCCTATCACTGAACACAGATACATTTACATGTGAGTCCGCTTTTTACCCTGAGATGTTCCGTGAACACTGGAGGACGTATTTTCTTTGTTCTGGCCCCAACCCTAAATCAGAGGTGAATAGAGTGGGCTCTCATACATTCGCATGGACTATGGGTATTAAGGTAGGCGGGCTGGGCAGGCAAATGCATCTGCAGGAAGCAGAGAAACCACCATGGCGATAAAATGCAATGACAGATTAATACTTTTCCCCCTGAGGCTTGGTATTAAGACCTCTCCAGATCTTTCTTTCCCTTCAGGATCTATCTCAAAGAAGCTCATACAAAAGGCCTCTTTCATTCGGTGGTGAAGAAGAGCAGGAACTTGAGGGAAGGCGAATTGCTTCTAATTCACTAAATTGCTTCTACTTGATACCTTCCTTGCAGGTTCAGCAGGGCAGATACCAGAATCTGCACAAAACCTTACATCTTCACTCGAAGGTGATCACGTCAGCCGTGAATAAAAAACTACCGTGCTCGTTTGCATGAAGGACCTCAGAGAGCTAAATTCAGCCTGCCCTTCAAGCTAAAACAGGAAGGCTGTCCCCTGTAGCAATGGATGTAATTGTTAGTTACCCTGTGATTCTTTTAATCCTGTTGATGGTTTCACTCTGTGTAATGCATTGTGTAGTTAAAAATTTACCGTGATTGCTGGATCTGTAACAAGAATGCATTTTGTTGGGCTAGGGGCTAATGCTTTCAGCTCTGCAAACCTGCTGCCTAAGGGTT